GCTGGGGATTCGAACCTGCCACCTTAGGTGTATGTGGCTGGCGCCTTAGCCACTTGAGCCACAGGCGCCGAGCCAAGAACCTATCTTGTTAACTGTGTCTACCACAATGTCTGACTCATAATAGGCACTCAATAAATACTTGTTGAATAAAGGGATACTACTTGCATCTCTCAGATTCCACATACCTATGAATAATTTCTTCCAGAGGAATATTAATAAACGAGGCTGTTCATTGCCTAAAGGAGGTCCTTTGTATCTGGCCAGAAACAACTACGGCTGGGAGAAAATTATGTTAAGTTCAATTGGTTTTGAAAGCCAGTGTTGTAGGATCCAGGTGAACACCCCCAGACTGGATGGACATCTATTCCCATTCTCCACAGCATCACCTCACCTGTAGCATGTAACTGTGATAGTCCTTGATGCGATGCTGCCAGAACTTCTGGAGGGAGAGCACACTGCCAATACCCACTTCATGGAATACCTGCTCCATAACATCAGGGAAAGGAGTCTGTCCCAGCTGGGCCTCCCGATCCACAGCAAATCGCAGCAACTTGGTGAACTTAAGGCAATACTCATGTGCCACATCAGTTAGGGTCTCCAGGACACTTTCATTAGCACATTCGAAGCCTGCGTGGGCCAGGATTGTGGCTACTGCCTGGTAGAGGAGCTGCCGACAGGAGTGCCAGCTGAGTTCAGTCACAGGTTCCCCTTTTCCACTGAAAGTGGAGACATGGTAGTGTTATTAGTGCTCTTACAAAGGGGTGACCAACAGTTCTGTCTTCCCTAGGAGTTTTACAATCCAGCCAAACCACTGGCTCAGCTTTCCAGGGAAATTCTACCCAAGTTACATAGCTCAGTTTCATCCTGCTGCTATCAGGGCATGTCTCAGCAACTTGCAGCCTTACCTCTGAGTTCCTCCAATTTCATAGTTTGAACAGGCAATTCATATTTACAATAAGCAATATAAAAGGTATCTATTTTGATCACTTTTAGGTTTAAGTTTTAACAGTATGCTCAGACACTGCTCAATGATGCCCTAGTTACTTCACCACAACATAGTTTCCAGATGTGCTGGGCAATATATGGACTTTCAGAAATTCACACTTCTAGTCAGGAGAGTCTTATATAATTACAAAATACCATTTTTAAAACTGAAAAGGCAACTCAATTTCGTAAAAGCAATTTAAAACATATATAGCTTACAAATATTTTCATCCTACTCTATGCTGTAAAAGAGTTCATATTATTATTCCTGTTTTCCAGGAGAGGAAATTGAAGTTCAGAGGGACTGACTTGCCAAAAGTTTAGGTATTGTTAGCAAGTGGCGGAACTTCTGATTCTAGTTCCTATATTTTTCATAATATATCATTTTTTCACCCCTAATTGCTACTGCAAAAATCTTAATCTTTCCAAGAGAAAACCTCAGAAAGCTGTTTGATCTCCTAAAATAATTTTTAAGAAGCTTTTAATAATTTACTTGTCTCCTGAAATTTCCCATCTGGCTTCTGCCTCCCCCAGACAAAAGAATTTATTTTATAGATAAAAATAAAATACAGCACAGAAAATCACATTTCCTTGGTTTGTATCTGGCATGTGCCATCATGTATTGCACAGAAGTGCCTAAGGACTTATCTACCC